ATGTAATGAGCATAGTTTTATTAATTCCCTCTGCTGCACTTTGTAAACCTGAGGTAATGCCGTAAATATTTTACTATATATATTGCAATAAATGATTTTAACGAGCAATACGTTATATCCAACTGATGTCAGTGAGATAGCTTTAAAATCATTGAAGAATTTCGGGTTCGGTTTTTTGGAAAGGTGTCATAATATAGGTGGGCTTCATTCTTTAGAAGTTTCAGCTGTTTCCAAAATTTTTTAGAAAAAAAAACTAATAGATATTTCGATATGTTAACATTTCTTAATATTTTATTATTTGCTACTTTTAATATGAATAATTTATACCTGCAGCTTTGCATTTGCAGCTTCATCAAACTAGAGGTTAAAGAAGAATATAAATATTTGTATATATAAAACTAAAAATCAGGACCTCTTTTAGTTCATGCTTAGTTGAGACTTGTGATTGAATTCATTTTATATAGCCAGAGCTTTAGTTGCTGATAATTTAACTAACATTAGGTAGCCCTGACAATCTATTATCTTAACATTCTCATAGACACACCTCGCCCAAATAACGACCTACAAAGAGATTCGGAATCATACAGGAACTAACCAATTTACTCTTCATTAACAATAATGACTTATATGAATGGCATAATGTCATCTCAAGTCTATACTTGTAAACATCTAGCACTCAAAGTCAATAGGACGTTGTTCAAACGATCACATAAACCTCGTCCCATACATCTACAGTTCACAGATAGGCAGTAATTGACAAAATTCTCCTTACTGTAAATATTACAAAGGTAGAAAAGAACGCTACTGAGCTCTTGATCCTCCTACCCATAAGGCTCTCTCTCTCCCGTTTGCCATCAGTAGATGCCTAGAACGAAAATATCTTATCTTGTCCATCATGCAAACTTTTTTATTTATTTAATATTCACGATTTATTAACTGATTAATATATTCCAAAAAATTTTGAATTATACGTTGAAAATTGATTTCTTAATTAAAACTATCTTTAGCAGACCAGCATATTTAAGATGTTATAAAATAAAATTTTGTTTTAAAATCATAAATAATCAAATTTCAGGTTTTATAATATCTACTCGACTTGACGCGTAACTATAACACGATTAATTTTGCTTTACTTTTAAAACACATAGCTAGATCAAAACCGGTATATAATTAGAAATACGAAATGGAATCATAATCTCCTAATACATTGATTTGTCGAAATCAATTTTAATATTCCAAAAAGGTGTTAAGGATTTTTGCTGAGAGGAGGGTGATATATTCCCAGACTCTAAATTCTCTTGGGGGAGGACACGATGCGATAAAATCCACATATTTATTACTTTTCAAATTATAATAATTCAATAGGCCAAACATATACTGTATAGCTCAGAAATATGATCAACTAAGGAATTATGAGAGAAGGCTGAGAGTGGTAGCTGGAATAACAAAGAAAGATAAATTTAGTAGTATAAAAAACTATTAGGTAGAGTCTACAAAGAAATCACTCAAGATAATTCCCCTAATATATTATTTGTAAGATTTTTCCTCGGGGTGTAATCTTCCGATTACCCCTTCGAATAGAATACCAACATGGAAGAAGCTATCCATCCCAAAATGGTAAGCTAACTAGGAAATAGTTAAACTACAATTTTTCAATTTTTGTGAAAACTCATAAATATGTTTAATTTAATCATTCGTTATCCATTTCTGTGTTGACAAACAAAATACGGTGAGATTATGGTTTGTGAGCCCCGATTACCATTGGTTATTTTTTATTTATTTATCTGCCATATGATTGGTGGAATTTTATTTTCAATATTATTTATCATTGAAAACCATTGGTCGTTAATTTTTTATTTGTTTGTAAACGATATTTTTATTGTATAAATTTATTTAGCTATTTTTTTGGTAAAAAGATAAATAAAAATGAGAGACGGACGCAAGTTAAAATTTAAATAAAGACACGTACATGGTTATATATGAGGTGACGATTAGTAAAAGAGGAAAACGAAGAGAAACCTGCGAAAAAGAAATTGTGAAGACTTACATTCATTAATTATTTTTTTTTAGAGAGAACATTTGATTCTTTCTCAATGATCACTTGTATCTTTACTTATAAGCTTTTTTTCTAATTACATATTATCTGCTGAGTCCACATGAAAAATACTTGACTTTTTATTTAAAGTAATAAAAATATATGTAACTAAATATATATATTTTATACATTTATAATAGGAAATGCTTGAATAATATAATATCTTTTAAAACATTTTTAAAGATATTCTCAATAGGTTTATATTTTCTCTCTTCTTTAAATAAACATATGTTTGCTGTATGCGATATTCCATAAATTGGGAACTTCCCAGATTTAACATATTATATTTCAAGGTCGCGCCAAAGATGGATGCTCTATGGATTGGGTATTTATGCTTCTATTAACCCGGGCCCACAAAAAATATATGATTTTCAAATAAATATTTTAAACATTTAATTCTCGCTATTTAAATTTAAAAAAAAAAATGTGTAAAAATTAAGAGCCAATTGGTTATAACTATAAATAAAAATAAAATTCAACAAAAAAAATAAATAATCTAACCAATCATATGACAGATAAATAAATCTAACCAATCATATGACAAATAAATAAATAAAAAGATAACCAATCGTAAATATGGCTCACAACCCATAAATCTTACCCAAAATAAACCTTTTCACCTATTATATAATTATAACGTAATATTATTATATTTATAAAAAATCATTTTTAAATAATTTTTCTATCCCTCCTCCCCCCTCTTACCTACCCCCTATTTGTAATTTCTTTTCCCTCCAACCCCTGTATTCACAGTTATCAACGATTTGGCGGCAAAGTTTGTAAAAATATGCTCTGTTTTTGTATAATTTCCCGCGAATTCACCCTAACAGTGGATTTCATAGTATAATTCTGCCAATCCATCTTATCACTCCCTGTCAAGAAATTCATTTATTTATATATATATATATATATATGTGTCGTATTGGGATATGGAATCATGTGGGATTCGGAATCCCAACGTGGGGATTCAAGATCTTGAATCCCGTTTTATTAGGGTTTTTTTAAAAAATATTTAAAAAAATATAATTAAAAGACCAAAATAAGGGATTTAAAAAGAGAACCTAAAAAAAGTAAATAGTATAAAATTAAGGCATATAATGAATGAAAAGGGATGAGGTTAAGACTTTTTTGTTTTAAAAAAATATTTATAAAAAATCCAAATTATTGCAACAATTATTCAATGCAATATGGCATTTCATTGAACATCAGGGACCCGAACATTTATAACGGTTCAGTTTGGTTACGATTCAGTATATAAAAAATTATAATGGTTTATTTTTCTGAATGTAATATTGAGTTAGCCGTTTTTAAAAATCAATTATGAATAAGGAAAAATACTATGTATCTTTAGGTTGAGCCAAATAAGGTCAGACTCATTTAGAGATTGTTAAAACTAAATTATTTATAACAACGAACAAATTTTAAGTTGAGATTATCAAAATGTTTTTAAAAAAATAGGCTAAGAACCAACATATATTTTTGTTTAGTAATTTTATATATTTTTACATATTTTTGTATAGTTTTAATATTTTAGTGTTTTATCATTTTTTTAAAAATTATACCAATATCAATATTATCAAAATAAAATTTTAAAAATTAAAACAAATAACAATGGCGATATTTTGAAGTTTTGGAAGCAGGAAAATTTATTTCCTTTTTTTGAGAAAATTAGAGAATAAAATTTTGTCAGCCCTGGCAAATTCGGCTTCTAGTGAAAGGTTATTTTCCGTAGCCAATCGCCTATTAGAGGAAAGGCGTACACAATTGAAATAAAAAAAAATAGACATTCTTCTTTTTCTAAGTAAAAAATTTGGATTTATAATATGTATTTATTTTTTGTTATTACGGACGGATTATGGAATTAAAGAAATAAATAGAATAAATTCCAAAAAAGTGTAAAAAATTATAGCATTAAAAGTTTTGAAAAATTTAAAAACACCGTGAGTATTTAATGATTTTAAAGCATAAAAGTAATACAATATTAAATATCTCTAAAAAATAAAATTTTCTGGTGCCAGTCAGGCGGCAAAAAAATGTAATTTAATTGTATTTTTAAAAATAAAGATTCCGAATCCCCTTAAATATATATTTTTTAAAATTTTATAAATATCTGAACCCTAACCGTAACCGATCGGATATAATTATTTTTTGAAGGAGTAAAAAGAACCTTTATAAAAACGGGTAAACAGGTTCAGTTTTTATATTTTAGAAATGGAAATAATTTGAATATCCAGAATTATATGAACGTGCTCTTATAATACTGTCGGTTCCCACAACGCAAGTTTCTGTAGAAAGGGCTTTTTGTGTTATGGTCACAACGAACATACTTGAAAATATATAACTTATAAGTTCAAATAATAATATATTTAAAAATGAATTATTTTGAATCTTATATATTTTTTTTATATATATAATTCATAGATGCTTACAATAAAAATAAATTAGAAGATGGTGTTGCTTCAATAAAAAAAAAAAATTTCTAAAGTTGAACCGAAATGTAACCTTTATATAAATTTCTTCTCAAGAACGGTAATCAAAACGTAACCATTACAATTTTTTATATACTGTACCGTAACCAAACTGAACCGTTATAAATAACGGTTAGGGTCCCTGCTTAAATGTTCAACGAAATGCCATATTGCATTGAATAATTGTTGCAATATTTCGGATTTTTTATAAATATATTTTTTAAAAACAAAAAAGTCTTAACCTCATCCCATTTCATTTATTATATGCCTTTAATTTTATACTATTTTAAATTCTCTTATTAAATCCCTTATTTTGGCCTTTAATTATATGGTGCCAGCCGCAAAAAAGAGAAGAAAAAGTAATTATATATTTACACATGATTCCATATCCCAATACGACATATATATATATATATAAATTTCTTTATTTTGTACTTTCTTAATAATAACTATATAATTATAAAATATATTTTTTGATTTATTTTCTACATTATTTTCAAAAAAAAAAATCAATTACGAATATAAATAATTTCTCTAATTGTTTATAAAAAAAAATAATAATATAAATTTCAATTAATTTCCATAATCGTGTCCCCTTTTTCTAAACTTAGTAGTAGAGGAATAATTCTGGCATTGGCATTCTTTGCAGAAATTGGAGTGAATATGGTCGGGATTATTGTTAGTATTGAACAGTTTCCGGCACAAATGACAAGCGGTCACGGATTGACGAGAATGCTCTGTTCTCCTTTGAGCGGGTTGTTGGTGAGAGTCGGTCCTACTAGATGGGTTATAGCTGCTTAGTTGACCATTGATTACCCCGCTAAAACTTTTGTTGTAGGATATGGTAGAATTTTTGCAACCGTTCAATCGCTCGTTGGAAGAATCGTTGCTGACCTTGAATTTATTATTATAATCGTGAGAGGTTGCGTGAGAAGAATTTTTATCGGTCAGCCTTGAGACGCCCTCAGATCTTCGAACACCCAATTTGGTCGTTGTTTGGGAGTCTACGCTCGCGACTGGTCTTTGCGTGTTGGGTACGTAGTTATATTTGGCGGGAGACGAGGGATTCGGAATTTCTTTTATGGTCGGTATGTTGCTTTGTAAGTTTCCCTTGGTATGAGTGGTCGGAGTAGAACTGGAGGACCCTAATAAGGTGTTCGGTATCAGCGACGAAATAGATTTAGAGATATTTCGGTTGGGAGGGGAAGGAAGGAAATAATTGGGGGAAGATTTGACATTATTATTATTATTAGGCGTTCTACGCCCGTAAGAGTTAACGCACTTTGGTTTAGATGGAGGCGGATCATTGTAGGAGTTATAATTGCTGTAAAGCGTGACGCCCGACAAATTTTGAGCGTGAGAAGAGCGAGAATGACCGCACAACCTGCTGGGTGAGATTGACACCGCGTAATTTTGATTGTCATTTATACTGTGATAAGATTTATATTTAGCCGGGTCTGGAATAGGAGCGTGTTTTGGTACCTCATTTTCTTCCCGAATATGCGAGGGGTTAAATTTATTGGGTGATTGAGTTTTATCTTGATAAACGTTTAAAAAGTAAAATATTATCGTCATTTTTTGTAGAATGTCATATGATGTCAATCAAATAAAAAATAATTTAAAATAGAGATAGTTTCTACCACGAGTGAGTAGTAGCACGCCATTCATTTTTTTCACAGTAAAAAAAATAAATAAAATAATGGTCGTTACTCACTTTTCGGGTTAGGTTTGATAAATTATTATTAATAAGCCTGGGCCTCGAAGAATATGGACTTTAGGTAACATAATATTTTTATTGGTTTAATATAAATTTTTATAAAATATATTTAAAAAATTAAAAGTAGAATTCAACCAATCGAATTTCCGCGATTTGAAAACTATTTATTTCCAATTAGTTCTCATATGATTCCCACGAATAAAACATCCCTATAACCCCCCCCCCTCCCCTTTTCTTTGATCCCATTCTTTTAATCATGTTTCAACAAAGATAATCCATAATATTCTCTTTTCATCCCTAGCATTTGAAACCGTAAATCAACCTCTCAATTCTTTCTCCTGACCTCAATTTTCGTGGGGCATTAAATTAATGCCCAATCTTCCCACAAAAATTAAACCCCATTTTATTACCGCACAATCTCAACTAAATGCTCAGGCCATAAATGAATCCCACAATGCAAAGAAAGAAAGAAAGAAAGAAAGAAAGAAAGAAAGAAAGAAAGAAAGAAAGAAAGAAAGAAAGAAAGAAAGAAAGAAAGAAAGAAAGAAAGAAAGAAAGAAAGAAAGAAAGATTTCTATCGTTTTTAAGCGGCAATCCAGGTTATTTCAAAAAACATAACAAAATGTAAGGGTTAATTTTTAATGATACTGATTACGATGTTCAAAAAACATTTTATAAAAATGGACATTAAATTACGGAAAATTTATTATTATTAATTATCGAAATTCTAATATTTAAAGAAAATCTTACTGCTTTTTTTTCCCCATTACCTTCCTCCTCATAACATTAGTCTAGTCAAGGAATATAGAATAATATTTTTTTACGGAATTTTATAAATTATCTCAAATTTCCAAACTTAGTGTCATTATGTATATATATGTGTCGTATGGGGATTAGGAATCTTTTGATTTTAAATCCTTTACCGAGAGATGGATTTAACCGGGAATGTATTCTAGCACGTATAAAGAATTTACCCCTATAAATTCCAGCCAATTTCAGCCATTGATTTATTGGTAAATCCATTAAATGGCAAAATTGTTCGAAAATTTACAGTTTTGGGTACTTCATTACATGCTGAAATACGATTCGTGTAAAATCAGATTTTTCAAAATCTAAAAATCGGCCTCTCGGTAAAGGAAGGATTTAAAATCCAAAAATTCCGAATCCCCATACGACACATATATATATATACTATTTTAAGTTTTATTTTACCCGTGTAATAACTAGTGGTGATGTGTTGCAGATGGGTTTCGTGTTTTGATGGAGAATAATGATCCCTGGATTGGTTGCATTTTTTCGACTCGTTGATGGGCATTTTATCGAAATTGACGGGCGAATACGATATGTAGCTAGTTTTTGTTTGCGAGAGTTGTTTCTTTTTCCTGGGAGACAATTCATTCGCGTATCCGGTGATATTAGGGTTTTTGTTTCTTAAGGCATCCTTGTTGGATTTAGTATTACCATAGAAACTTGTATTGATTCGAACGTTAGCCTCTGATTTGCTGGCATTACTGAGTGATGCTTGCATTACTCCTATACCGGTTTCGATATCTCTGGATAATTCTTCTAAAAAGTGATATTTTTTGTAGGAAGGGGATTTGGGGGATGGGGAACACAGTGAATTATTGTTGGGATTCAGTTCAAGCACGAGCTGAGACTTGGAATAACTATTGAATTTGGTATTGTCGACATTGTAAGAGGTACGAGGTCGACGCGAAGTCGCGGTTTCCTCGCTATCGATGTAGTCCATGTATTTAATGCCCTTGAGGGTTCCGTTAGGATTCGAATAATCGCTGATTGCCATATTTTCACTAAATGAAGCAGGTGAAGCATTCCTATACTCCTTTTTGGATTCGATTGTCGGTTGATAAAAATAGTCCGATTTTCGGCAAGTTTGAGGTAAAAAGGACTGCCTAGACGATAAGCGATTCGTGTCGAAGTGATCCTTGGTTTTTAGGTCCAATAAATTTTCGCGCGATAAGCATGGAATTTTAGAAAGGGTTTTGGGTTCCGATCTAAAGTCCTGACACTTTGATTCGTTATACTTAATAATCTGAGGGGATAGTGACGAGGTAATGGGAGACGCTAAGGTGTAAGTCAAATAATTTGTCGTTTTAGATGATGTAGGGATCGATTGCGAATAGTTCGAGATGGGTTTATTAGGCTCTTCGTAATAATTGCAGTTAGAATGGTTTTGTGATGCGATATTGTTTTTGTCTTCTCTGTAAATTGGCTTCGACGTGTATTGGCGATTCTTTAGATCTTCCGTATAAGTAATCTCGGTTCTGTTCTTGAATAAATTAGGAATACCTGACGGAGAAGAAATGTTGGAACGCCCGTGTGTGTTAGCACTTTTAGAACCTTCGCTGTATCTTTTATGACTACCTTTGGAGGAGAGTTTATTTACGTTGTTTCCCACTAAATCTTCAGTCACGATTGTCGAAAAGTTTATCGAATGCGAAGTGGTCACTACTACCGTCGCATTATTATCTTTATCTGCAAACATGATCTTTCTGTCTTTTTTCAAAAATGGAGAATTACTGACCTGAGATACATTTATGTGGTTTCCTAGATTTTTGTAGTCATAGGCGTCTCTGTAATCAACATGGTAGCAACCCTTATTGACGTTATATTTGTCATTCGACGTCTCGTTATTCTCACTCATCCTAACATGCATCAATGATTGTTTCACTTCTTTTTCTTCTTCTTCGATTGAAATGTCATTTTTGATGGGCGGACACGCTGTGACGTTGATGTTGAGAGTCAAAGAGTTTCTCTTCTTATTGAAGGATTTGTTTGAATCGAGGACACTCTCATTTGATTTAAGATGATCGTTACTTGGAGAATTATCATGAGAAGTTACATTTCTATTCTTCAACGAAACTCGAGGTAAAGTTCCTTTTGATAAAACAACAAATGATAATAAAAGCTATGAATTATATTTATTTTTTTTTGTAATCAAGATTATTTACTTCTCCAAGCAAATAGCCCGTTCTAAGAATGGCGGGTTAAATCACAAAAAATATGTTTTATTGGATGGCGAATGAGATAAGAGTATTTCGATTTCTACTAAATTTGAATGAGAGGTGACTTTCATTTTTGACGGACAGATTTACATTGAGTGAAGCATATAAAATAAAAAAGCCTTTTCAAACTAAATTTTTAAAACTTTTGTATAATTGTATAATTTATAATCTAAAGGTTAATCTTTGATAGGTGAGGGTTTTGGGATGTTTAACCGAGTAGTGTAAAAATATATGCCGAAAAAATTTCGCAGGGCAAGATTAGATTCTTTTAAGATCATAAATTACAAAATGTATAAATGTTTAAATGTAATATAATTTGATCAAAATTATATTTAAAATAATTTGTGCATAAGTTGGAAGTAGTAAATAATATCCTATATTATGTATATATATATACTTCACTATAACATTTCATCTAAATAAAGACCAATTTAATGGCGCACCCTCTCATCAAATGAAGAAGAAATTTCTTGACTTATCTTTATATTTCATCCGTCATCAGAATGAATTTCATGATTCAATCTTCATTCTTTCAACGGGACTATTTTGATAGTAATTTTATTTTTTACTAAATTGGGCTAAAATGATCTTAAATAATATTATTTAATAAAATTTGTAAAAAAAATCATTATGAAACATGTTTCAAATCAAACTATATTTATAACCCTTTCGTTTTTTTTTATAAAATATCTTATTATAACCAGTTGAGTTATGGTTATGAAAGATTTACAATAGTTCGGTAAGGTTTAAAAGTTAGGGTCTGACGCCCGAGCCCGTCTCCCTCTGCTCGCGGGACGAGTGTTGTTAAATGGCAACTCAATATTTTAGCCGGATATTGCTTAGATTTCGCTTAGAGGTGTCTAGACTTCGGTGTCATCTATGAGCAAACTCTTCAGGCTTACGCAAATATTATTCCGGATTCAAATATTTGAGTGGTCCGTTTAACAAACACTACGCGAGACAAAATTAGATATTTCGAAATCAAAACATGATTACTAAATCATTACGAGAAATACATTTAATGTATCGTATTATACCATATAATTTTAAATTATCGGTGTTGGAGGAGGTTTGTTCAAATTTTTCGATTTTCCTGGAGATGTTCTTAGGCTTCGAAATCTCAACGAAACTGGCAAACGTTTTGGTCAAATTTTGTTTGGGAAATGAATCGGGGTCTAATGAATTTGCGGCACTCTCTTCGTTCTTTCTGGCATACCTTTTTGTTTAATAAATAATAATTTAATTAATTTTTTTGAAAAATTAAAATTATTACAAAAAGAAGGAGTGAAAATCAATTATTCCAATAAAATTGATTTAGGTAATAGGTAAAATTAAACGGGATTACTTTACCCCAGCTCACAATACACTCTCCCAAACTCACCTCGTAGAAATAACTTATTATTATAAGTATAAGCTCATAATATTGATTACTAAAATTCTTGAGTTAAATTATAGAATTATTTTTATCAGGTTTTTCTGCCCTGCCTAGAATAACGAGGAAGCTAAGCTTTTTCTGCGAAGTTGGGGGGCCGGCCCGAAAATCATTTTTCTGAAAGACAAGCAAAAAACCAGGAAAAGTGAAAAGAAGAATAATATTTATAGGGGTAAATTTGATTCGATCGATAACACGATAACGGGTCGGTATCAAATAGTGTTGTTTAAAAGCCGGATTCGGGTCGAATTTACAAAACGGCCGGTTTAGATTTATAATCAAAATAACATTATGCGACATGCAAGCCTAAAGATCTTGATCATTGACCTGGCAGAAATGCTAGGACATCTAATTTGCCAAATCTTGATGATGCTTACTTAGACAGTATTAATTTACTTAAAATCTTATTGAAAAATCGACCCCAGTTAGGGCTTTTTAACAACTCTAGTATATGTTTGAAGGCTAACACTTGGGAAAATCCGTGTTAGGTCTATTCCATTAGGGGGCAAGATATGGTTAATCAAATCCCTATTTTAAGCATCTTTAACTCTTATAAAAAAAATATTGGTGTTGGCTTCTCAATATGGCGGATTTTTTTTTCCGGAAATGTATTTTCAATGTGTGCAGAATACCTGCCCTATAAATTTTAGACAATTTTATAACAAAATTTTCTTAGAAATTTGCCCAAAATATTTTTTAACATAAAATATGGTATAGTATAGATATTCAGCGAAATCAGATTTTATCATATTTTAAAAAATATATTCAATAAATAAACAGGGTTTGACAAAAATCTTCAAATGAGAAATTTGAGGAATTTTTTTTAGCCCAAAATTTTGAGTTAAAAATCTTTAAAAATCCACAAAATTGAAGATTTTTTTATGCATAAAAATAAGAAAATATTTACTATATAAAAGATTTTTACCTAAAATGTCTGGAATTTTAGGTAAAATTTGTTCGAAAATCCTGTTTTAGGAGTATTCTCGAAAAAAAAATCTTTTGAGATCAAAATCTCCAAAGATTTCTGTTTGTTAAACAGCGCGTATTAAGTTGGATCAAGATTTCCAAAATCGTATTATGCAAAGCGCGGGAGATTTTGCTCACATAGATTGCAAGAAAGATTTGGACCTCGATTTTGGCTAAAATCTTAATAGGGCCGTTTTCAAAAATAGATCCTAATCGGGCTGGGCCACTTAGCAACATTATTCTTGGATAAAAAAATAAAAAAAATAACACCAGCTCAAACTCTCGTCCTACCCAAAGTCTTATGACAAAAAATAATATAATGTAAGCATCGAGATTGGCAACTAGATGTTCCAAGCATTTCTGCCAAGCTATGAGCAAAACTCCTTAGACTTTCATAACGTTATTTTTGATTATAATTCTCGAATTAGGCTTTTTTAACAGCATTCAGTCATAGGGGGTATTTGGTAAAAGATAGCGAAAGATGACGCATAATTTATATTGTTCTTATATTTTTTCTATAAATATATTCAAAATCTCTGGGGCCTCTTAAAACCGCACTTTAGAAGGTTCAAATTAATAGGGAATTTAGTTTTTTTTTAAAGAACCTAAATTCCGTGTCACGTGGTTCGGGGCAAGACGCGGCCACGTTAGGCGAGCGCGCATCCGAATTTACGGTGAATAAAGAAGAGTTTTCTATCAATTTTTGCTGAAATTCGCGGCTGTTCATCACGCATTTGTTGTAAAGGACTCGGGCTTGCGTTATGCAGTCGGGTTCCGCCTGATGTAAATCCATCGCTTGTCTAGCTCTACCTATATTGAGAATGAAATAATTAAAAAAAAAAAATTTTTACCATAAAAAGAAATCATCTGTTAAAAAGAGTATATCCATTACTTAAACGAAAACATCTTGAAATCTCCATATGAATGACAGTAACTTACTTTTAAAGCTCGTAGGGGGGGGGGGGGGGGTAGAGAATTAAGGGTAGAGCTCCATTAGCCAGGGTTTTTAGCAATTTAATTTATAGCCCAGGTTCTTCTAATTTAGAGAAAACCCCATTTCTCATGAATCCTAATTCAAACGAGCATGGATACCAATGATTCATAATAATATACCTAGACTGACTGCCTTCATAATAATACATTGGAAAGCGTCGCTAAATGCGAATCAGCTGGGCCCGCCTTTTTGGTAACCCATATGGTAATTATTCTCGTGGTTAAAAACTACCATTAAATTGATATCTCGCTTCCTTGTTATCTCGATGATCACAGACAATTCTTTCAATAAAGTTTGCGTCACGCGTAGGAATAAATTGACCTCTCGTTTAAAAATTTTTTAACAATTGATATGGGCAACCAAAATGGCGTCCCCAGCTGTTTTTCATTGACGCACAGCTTTTTAATGAATGCAATCGTCAGTCTATAGGTATTACCATATGTCATTGTGCCATGAAACCCACTTCATAAATTTTAGGCCATTTCACTCTCCGTATAAAAAAAATTTAATATAAATAAAATCGCAGCTTAAATTATCTGAAATTCGTAGAATAAGGGGGGTGTACTGCGCATGCACTATATTCTAAGAACTTTTAATTTTATTTTATATTAATTATACTATTTATCAAAAGTTTTAATAGTAAAAAAAAAAAAACTTTTAAAATGTCTATGGGAAACATAATAAGTTTTTTATAAACGATATAAAACTCGGCTAAAAACGCCGTCAATAATTCTTTATGTTCTCCAAATTCCTTAAACCCGGGACCAAGACTAGACCCGCCATATTAGCGGGATTTTTCGATGATTTAGCGAAAGGCGGGAATACGCGGGAACAAAACGCAATCACATTTTATGTAAAGATATTGGGTGAATTTATTTTTTTTTTTTGGTCAAATTACGAATTTTTCAATTTTTATAGTCAAAATTATATTTTAAAAAAATTTTTCGCGGAACAGCGCAAGGGAGATCAAACCCGAACCCAAGGAATTGCGAGCAAGATTGGGTATAGAAATGATTCTTCATTTTTGTAATAGGGACGCATCCCTTGGTTTGAAATTCTGATCTTAAAAAACGGTATAATCACGTGTTAAAAAATATTGGATTTACTAGCCGAATTGGCGCAAAAAAATATAGCCGCGGATATGTCGTTGATCTTTATCGCCATTTCCGATTGTTCCAGAAGTGCTTCCGCTTCCTGGCACAGGGATTTACATCTGAAAGTGTCACCTTTTATTAAATTTTCGTTTTATTATAAGAAATAAATTAAGTTATATGATAAAATTTCCCGAATACCAAAACTCGAATATAATTGGATAATGCTTTTTTAAAAATTTTTTTTAGAAATATAATGGGGTTAAATTAAGAGAAGCACTCCGCTTTATTATTATAAGGTTCTATGTACACTCGGATTTCTTTTTTTCAAGAGAACTATTTTTTTATTTTTAAAAGAACATTTATTATTTATTGCTATAAATTTTTTAGAAAACTGCTAAAAATAAGGTTTTTTAAAAAGTAGAAATAGAATCTTGCAAGTCAATTACAATAAAACATTAGCATGAGTTAAAAAAGGATTGATTTAGACTATATTTTTCATATGTTTATAACTTAAATAGGCATAAAAATATATATATATTATTATCGAACCCTAAATTTCAAAAATTTTAACGAATGTTGTATGTAGATATATTATGTATTGGGCTAACCCTGAAAAAAAATATAACTCCCTTCAATAAAGTTGGCTTTTTAAGGCCAAAAAATGTGATTTTTGAAATTTTTTTTTCTTGCAATACTAACTTTGACGTTGGCACATTCTGCTCAAAAAAAAAATACCCTATAAACTCAATCATTATTGTAAGTCATTTATAATACTAGGAAGAGTTGTTAAAGGATCTAGATCCTGTATCTAGATATAAAAATGTGGTATCTGTATCTAGATAGATTTTTGATTAAAATATCGGTATCAAGATATTATTTTAGACGATGTATCCGTATCTAGATCCATTTAAAAAGTATCTTTTAACAACTCTGCTAGGAATAGTGTTGTAAAACGGCTCGTCGAGCCCTTTTAAAAACGGCTCGTCGGCCTTTTAAAAACGGCTGACTCGATATCTCATCCAGAATAATATTATGCGAGCCTGGATATTTTGTTTGCAGAAGGGAACAAAGGTTTGTACTCCTATCAGCAAAATCTAGCGGCTTAGGCAATATATTTATGGCTAAAAAAATGGGCTCAACACTAACTAGGAATATATTTTTAGCAAAATCATCGTTAATCCCAGCAGGAAAATAGGTAAAAAAAATTTAATATATACTTATATTTTCCGTTTCCATCATAAGCGAATCCGCGTGCGAACCAACGCTTGCGCCCCCTAACAACAACGGAGCCGAATGATAATATCTATGACTAATGTTGTTTAAAAGGTTCGCGGATAGATCCGTGTCCACTTTGCTGATCAGGGCATCTTTGTATCCGTCATAATTCCCGCGCTTGTGGTGTTGGATCGCCGCAGATTTTCTGGAGGTGGGATTCGACCTCGACGAATTTTCGCTCTTATCGACGAGCGAGCCATTGTTAGATTCCAGGGTACCGTAAGACTTATCTTTATAGAAGGAATCGTTTCTGCTTCGAGAAGAATCGCTATAATCGCTGAAGGAAGAATGTCCGACGTTACCGTTATCAGAATTGTTACATTCGAGACCCACTAATGTCGTATCCCCGTCGACGACCTCGCAAACTATGGCGTCTAAGCTTTGATTGACATTCGGAAAGGCGGAATCTTCCGACGAAGAAAATACAGAGGAAGTCCTCTGCGAATCCTTGCTATTTTTATTTTCGAGTTCGAAATCCGAACGCGTTTTTCCGCTCGCGATACTGGTGCAGTCCGTTTTATCGAGTTCGTTGATATATTTATCATCATTAATATTACTATACGATACATGGTCGTGTAGGATGCTGCGATTATTATCGTCGCCGTCGTTATTTGTCTTAGCGGAAGCGCCGTCGTTCATTCTATCGTCGTCCTGGGAAGAAGCGGGAGAGCACCGGAAACTGGATCCCTTCCTGGTATTTTGCGGATAGTGAACGTAATTTTTCAGGAAAAGGTAAGATGACGGGGCTGGGCCGGAACGCTTCGAGGAATTGGACGATATTGTGCTGCTTTGATCTCCGTTCGTTAGATATCCGGAATCTCTCTTCTCCGTGAATTGTTCATTTTGGGTCAGTTTGGTGGTCGTATTTTCGCCGTTTCGGCTAGCGCTGCCGCCGCTATCATCCGCTTTGCCTGATTCGATACCTATAACGTCATTAAAATAGGGTAAATTATTGCGTTTTAGTAATAATGGGGGATCGTCTAAAATGGGGTGACGGGAAATAGCGGGTTGACCCATCTTGATCAATAGGTTAGAATTTATCTTATCGCTAAGGGATTCCTTGAAGCCCGAGCTATGATCTGGGCGCGAAGAACCAGAGGGGATAGGGTTAAGGAGCAAATCTTTGGAGGAATAGGAAGGCTTAGAGGGATGACCCCCGGACCTTCTCCTACTAGATTTGGAGATAAGCGATATGTCCGCCGAGGTCTTGTCGATTATTGTTAGGTTCTCGAGTTTACTAGCGGTATCATTATTCCTAACATTTTTACCGGGAACAATTTTAGACGCGGGTTTGTAAGAGAACGAGTCGGCTCTATAAGATAGCTTACCCAATCCGCCCGTGCTCTGGCGCGACAATTTCTTCGATCTAGGAGGATCACCATTTTCTTTGAAACGGTCCAGATGGTTATATATATCTTTATCCTCTCCATTACAGGCATCGGTTAAATTTTTAGTTGATTTTAGCGCGAATTTTAACATATTTTGGCGCTAAATTTTTTTAAAATTTATATTACTCTACCTTTTGTTTTTTTAATTAAAAAAATTTTTTTTTTCTTTTATATATTTCATTTTCAAAAAAAAAAATTTATTATTTTTTGAAAAAGTGTTTTAAAAAAAAAATATCATTTTACACAAAAAAAGAAGAAAAAAATTTTTTTTTTAATGCAATATCGAATTAATGAGAATATCTTCAGAACTTTGATCTCACAAGATAAACATAAATTATTATATTTTTTATAAAATAAAATTTTATTAATTATATTTATAATATTAATAAAAATAATTCAAACAAATAATAAATACAAAAAAAAAGTAAATAAAACATGTTTTCTATAAAAATATTATCTCTTGTTGTATTTGCACTGGCCTCCAGTGTTTTTAAGTTTTTAATAGGTAAGTTTTAATCTTTTTTTTCCAATTTCTTTTCTCTATTTGGTTCTTTTCTTTCCATTTTTTTTAATATCTTCTTTCGTTCTTTCTTTTAGTCTTTCTTTCATTTTATTTTTATAAAATTACATTTTATATAACAACGTTACAGTATATATTACTTTAGAAGAAAAAGAAAAACTCATTTTTTTTGCAAGGGTAATAAAATATTTGGGGTTTTTTTTGTTAAAATTGTCTATAATATTTTTGCGTCGCCAAAATATTTAATCGAGTTAATGTGACAATCGTAACCTCAAAAAAAATGAATAATTTAATACTGATTATGTCTAACTTTTTAATTACGACATTTTTTGAGAGGAGAAAAATTGATTTATGATTAGTAATTTGTTTTTTTCCGCCATAAGATGTTTGTATAAGCTATTAATTACAATTTTTATATATATTTAAATGTTCCACGAGTCAGAGCCCACTCCCCTTATGAGGACTGAAATAAAAATGGATTCTGACTATACACATGAAGATTTACAGCATTGCGATCGACTCATAACCTCAGTGGTAAGAGGGCTCTGCAACGGGCCAGCACACAGTCTTGCTGAATAGGCACGGGCTAATTCACTGAGCTCGAGGCAGAACATCGCAACTTCCAAGGTTACATTATGTTTTGGGGGGCTTACAAAACTTGAGACTTCAGGTGTGAGCATAAAGTATCCCAACCTGCCCCGGTCTACCCTATATACCTAATTATTAATCCTACAAGATATTAATACGGTATATCTCCAAAAATATAATAAGAGTCTGATATCAAAATATATAATTGCAAAATAATTATAATTTTGACGGAAATAAAATTTTGTTTCAATGAGGAAATGTTCTTTCTTATCTTCCATTTTCTTATTCTTTTAAGATTAAAAGAAAAACATATTTTTATAGGAATAAAATTAATTATAAAAAAAAGGTAAGCAAAAATTTCAAAATGGGAAGAAATTGAGAACTTTGGAGAGAGATATAAAAAAAAAGAACGATTTTAAAATGGCCCACAATAGATTAAATCAAGATATCTGCCAAATGTTGACTGGACAGGGGCCAATCATGCTCATCTCAAAGTCTGGTCGGATAGACTTGAGAGACCGACTAGATGGAACAAAAAAAAATCAAAAAAGTTTTTAAAAAAATTTCCCACCATTTCTAGCCTCGACTATATTTTATTTATTTTTTTTAAAAGATACAAGCTCGACAATTCATTTCCGGTTGGGTTCATCAAAATCAAGGTCCGATCCCGACGAACCCGAGTAAATTTCTGCATGAGTCGAACCGACCAATCTTGGATCGGTCCGCGCAGCTCTACGTTTCTTTCGTACGGACGATCGCCGGAAGTTGATCCAAGGCAGGACTCTTGACAAGATTAAAGCGGATTAAAATCCCCCCTTCCACCTTCCGTCATTTATTAAATGATTATTTAAATCCAAAAAATATATATAAATGATATTTTATTTGAATTTTTTGTGCGAAATATCTTTTAGCCATACTTTTTATTTTCTATGGTAATAATAATAATAAAGATTAAAATGACATAAGTTTGAAATTTTATAAATTGAATGGAATTAAATGAATGACTAAATCTTTTTCTTTTCTAATCCGTATTTTCAACTAATTTCTTATTGTTATATTATAAAAAAATTTAAATATTATTCCTTGTATATTTTCTCTCTTTGTCCTGGTATAAAAGAATTAAAAAATTTTTATTCTATTATTCCATCAAACCTTATTTTTCATAATTTTCAAAGTCAAAACTTTTATGTAAGAAAAATAAAAATAAGATGTAAAAATATGAATGAATAAAAATAGGTGTATTGATGATGTTATTGTAAAAACATGAAACTTTCCATGATAAATATTTAATATAGCTAATGGCATTCGCGATTTGCCATTTCCCGTGGATTATACATTATATAATATATATAATTTATTTTTTAATTTTATGCAGCTTTATTTTAAAATTATAAAAAATTGTTTTTTTTTATATAAACATTGCATGAATCATGAAAATTTTGTTATTTATAGGTTATTTAATCCTTTTAGAGAAAATATTTTATCAAAATATTATGATAAGACTTAAGAGATAGGGGAATTTTAAATATCAATATTGTATTAATAATCGTTTAAAAATAATAATAAATAAAGAAAAGCAGTTGGTTTAACCCAACCCTTAGCAAGAAGCAGAATGAACAATTTATGATCATAATTAGAAGTTGCCAACTAGGTCACGGTCCAATCTTTGGACCAGACCGGACAGATTAGCGGAGCGGACTACGGTCCTATATAAAAAGATCGGTCAGGGCCAGTCTTTTTTTTAAAATTTTTGTTTTCCCCTAGTTTCAATTTAATTTCATGTTTTATATCATTTTGTATCAAATATAAAAGTATTTTATGTCAACAGTATAAAAAATCATCAAATAGAAATAATATAATAAAGAATTATAATGCCTTTTTGAAAAAATTTTGCATTGTTATATAGAAAATTTATTTTTAAAAATAACTAAAAAGTAAACTCCTCCCAGAAAAGTGATAAAATTTATATGAATTTGAATACTAAGACGAACTTAAGACAGGTCCGTCAATCGATCCCCGGTTTAAGGCCGACACCGACAGTAGAAAGCTGCCAATTAATCCTAACCTTAACAACTCCTACTATCCCCAAGGAGTTCACGATAAACGGAAGAAGAGTGTTCACCGAGGCCTGGAGAATCGTTGTTACCCCACTACCCATCTTATTTTATCGAAAAATTAACACGCTTTTTTAAAATATTTATCAGATCTTCAACTGTGCTAAATAAGATAGGGGGGGGGGGGGGGTTGTATGAATTTTATAAACAACTATAAATTTTGAAAAGTTCTTTTTTATTCAATAAAAAAAAATAATGGATATATATAATATAATATATATTCGGCTTTTGTCAAAAAATTTATAATTATATGATTAAAAATAAGTGGGAGAGGAATAGTTGACGTCATTCGTTACTTTTTTGAGAAGTAACTTAGTAACGCGGGTTCTCATTCTGACCAACTGAAGAATCGGGGATCTCGCTTGTATCTTCCTAAAATAAATTTTTTTTGAAAGCAATATTAACAACATAATATTAACAGATGCTAGGGAAGTAGACTCTTACACATCAGATCCTTGAAATGGCATTCCCAAATGTAAGAATACCATCTATTAAATACTTGTTTTCAATTATTCTTCAATATTCCTCTAAAAATATTTCTGGGATATATAAGAGAGATTTTCAATTTATATATATATATATTTGTTTTTTTTAATTTTATTGATTATAAATAATTTAATTATTTATGGATCAAATGTTCTCACGACAAAGCATTGATGCTATTTTCCAGAGTTGTTAAGTATCTAGATCCTGTATCTTGATATAAAAATTTGGTATCTGTATCTAGATAGATTTTTGATTAAAATATCAGAATCCAGATATTATTTTAGACTATGTATCTGTATCTAGATCCATTTAAAAAGTATCTTTTAACAACTTTGCTATTTTCCTTTATAAATTTTATTATTTAAAATATATAAGGCTCATTTTTTATTGAAATTTTGTCCCCGGTGTTTATTAGAAAAATCATCCTAAAAATAAAGTATATTATAAAGTAAACTGTAGAGTAATTCTCATTATCCGCAAAAAGAGGTGACGAGATTAATGAAATAAAAATCTATTTTAAGCATTTTTAATCAATTTTACTATATAATATATATATATATAATATATCCCCTTTTATCTAAAAATTTGTATAATCAAACATTAATAAGGTTTTTTATTTGTATATAAATACATAGAACAAAGAAATATTATATTTATTAATATATAAAGAAATTTAATAGGTTATCGCTATATATAAGAATTCATATTATAAATAATACATATTATTTTATTTAAATGCATCGCACTTCAGGTTAATTGTAATTTGTGTCACTTTGCTAATTAACTAGAGTTTATGAAATGTTATGTTTATGTTATGTGAGTTAAAT